AATTGCTGAGGGTGGAATGTTGTGGCCTTGTGACATTTCACTGACGCAGACCTGGAAAGGAATGCAAGCTCCCCGAGGTCCTGTTCTCCGGTGGGAGACAAGAACGATCTAAGTTTCCTCCTATATTGGAGCCAAGCTAAAAAGTCAGGGTCAAGCACTGGAAGCATCTTTCACCAGAGAACATAACCTGCTAAGTGAAAGCGCCTGGGTTTGAGTCATAACTTGAACCTAACTGGCCAGCTTTTGAGGCTAGGTGGTCAGTTTCCAAGGAAAAAAACCCACAGAGCTGCTGAAGCAAAGCAGCCAGGATTGCATTGAATGCAATTTCCTGAGATGAAACTGAACATCCATTTTGGCTCCATAGAAAATTTAATTTGGATTGACAGAGACTACATTAATAAAGGGTGTCTCAATGACTTGGTCCCCGAATCCTCCTCTCCTCCAGATATCCTTGCCATTTTATCAATTCCAGCATAATCACCTTTTGGACAACTGTTGGAAGGTTCTCCTCTGAATTTGTGGAAACAAAAATATTGAGCCCTTGAGAAAAACCATCTCTAAGTATTTTCTCAGCTTCCCATTTTGGAGATTAGGGTTGTCGCAGAGGTAAAATGCAGACTGCTTAATGCAGGCTTGGTGCTGAATCAGAGCAAGAGATTGATAAAAATTAGAGCATTCTGGTGACTGCATTTGTACACAATTGATTTTTTTTTCCTTTTGTGAAAAAAAAGCCATATATTTATGAATAGTTAGCTAAAAGAATAATTGTAGGGAAAGGCCATTAACGTTTTGTATCATGTCCCTAGAGGTAAAAGCGCGCATGTTATTGCAAACATCTTGCGATTTTAAGAAAGAGTGGCATGGGGTTGGGTTAAAACTACATGTTTTAATTTGGGTCAAAAGAGCAAGAGAAGAGAAACTCCCCCAAAACCCATCTTGTCCAAAGAAATCAGGAAAAAAAAAGCCTGCAACAAATTCTCTTGTGCAAATCTTTTGGAAAGAAACGGGGGGCTGTACAAGCTGTGTGGGTGCGGTGGGATGAGGGCAGCCTGGAAGACTGAATAGCTTCATTTTGCAGTTGGTTACTGCAAGCTGCAAAAAAAAAAAAAAAGCTTCTGTCCTAATGATACACCAAACTGAGGAACGCTTTAGGTAACCAAAGGGTGTTTCTGTGGGCCATCCATCACTCCTTCAGGTCAGGTTCCTAGCCTCAGGAACCTTAACGGGATCAGGGATCCACATGCTCAAGCAAAAGGATCCCTCCCCCCCCCACTTTACATTCTGAAGAGCCCCCGGAGAGCCCCTGCTAAGCCTTTGCCCCTTTGCTTTCAAGAATCTCCTCAGACTCACCCAGCAAGCCATTTGAACAGCAAGAGAGAGCATGGGCTCTGCCAGAGACCAAAATGGCTGACTCAGGTGCTGGGAAGAGAACAGCCCCATGCTAACTAGCTAACAGTACCTGTGTTGAGGGATGGAGATGGGGGTCGTGTGTGTGTGTGTGTGTGTGTGTGTGTGTGTGTGTGTGTGTGTGTTTTCTAAAGCTATGCCTGCTTTTTACAGTTTTCACAAATGCCCCCCTTTCACCACCCAGCAGGAGGGAACTCACAAACCTGCCATTCCCCAGAGATAGACATTAATCTCTCTTGAACTAATGCTGGGCTTGGCTCTTCCAACCTCTTTAATGGCCATTTCATACGAAGGCAATAAACACACCAGACATCTGCTTAGTTCCAGCTAACCCCAGAGGCTTGAACGTGGTCAAATGGTCGCCTCAAGCCTCTGGAGCTCCAAGGGTGGAACTTTCCTGTGCTCTGCTGGAGGTCCACAACCCACATAGCGACCCATGATGGGAAAGCCCAGCTCCTGGGCCAGGGCAGAGCAGGGGCTGGACAAGACCAGCAGGCTCTATGGGCCACACCAGTCAGGCCTTGGGGAGTTGAAGGAAAGCGATGGAATCTCCAAGTCTCTCACTTGGACAGAAAGGGCAGAAAAAGCATGCGCAGGAGTGGAATGCTTGAGTGGCAGGCGTCAGTGACAGACCAGGGTCCAAAAGGTTCTTTCTGTCTGCGAAGGGTCACACCTGGGTGGTTGCGACACTTGGCTGCAGTGGGAGGAGAAATGACATTTAATCCAGCCTTGAATACAGGCCGCCATCTATTGGAGTTCAGTGGCCCCATCCCAAAGAAGAGACAATCTCTGACAAAGTGAAGGGAGGTCCTTGCCGTATTCACATGGCCCGTCTTCCCAGTAATTAAGTGGAGCTTCAGAGAAAGTGACGCAAAACGGTGTGGCTAATTGCCCTCTGATCCTGGGTATCAGCAGCCTTGGCAGATTCTCTGAAGGGCAAACCTGTCTAAATTGCACAACTTTCGTTAGTTCCCCGAGGGGGGGGGGGCAACCATTTCCTTCACCCCTCTGATGAAGGGGTGAGATACCCTTTTGCCTTGGAGCAGGAGGAGGGGTAGGTAAATGGTAGACGGGGAGAGGATATTTCATGTATTTTAAAAGCATGTCTGCAAACAAATGAAACTCAACGAAGTCCAAGGCAGTATCCTCTCCTTGGAAACAGTTTCGCCAGGTTCATATCCTAAAGTGTTCAAAAACATTAAACCAAAGACACACACACACACACACACACACACAAACCACACAAAAAAATTCAAAGCGTGCCTGCTGTTTTTGTTCCTTGATGGCAGCAGCATTTAATATTGTCCCGAAATTAATATTCTATTTAATAAAGAAGACAATATCAAACGGTTTTAAAGGAAAGAAAGCCTGGATGGGAGAAGCGGGGCTTAAACGGGCTTTTAAATTTTAAACAAAAGGGAACGTAAAATCTTTTTAAAAACCTGTAGCTTTTGGTGAGTCCGTTTCTGTCCCTGATGAGAACAAAACCCGCACCGTTTTGGCTGAGCCAAGGCGAGTCTTTGGGAGCCTCTTGAACGCTTCTTCAGCCTCCCTCTGCCTCTTTTAGGCATCGCTAAGGTAGGAAGGGGGAGAAGTCGTGCTGGGCAACCCAGCAGAGGCAAAATCAGCGAGGCAAACAGGAGGAATTCGACGGCGCACCGTTCCAGAACTGGGCAACGCCTTCCCGGCCGAGTTCCTTGAATTAGTCCTCGACTGGGCTTTTGCCTGTTTGAACGGATCCACGTATTTGATGCGTGTTATTTGTGCGCTTGTGTAGATCCTGTAGTGAAAGGCGACGCACATTCTCCGGTGCCTTTGGGGGTCCGCAGAGGCGGCGGCGAAGGGGGCTTCTTCCCTCCCGCACGCAGGGCCCTGGGCCGCCAAGCCTCGCGCGTCCGCTTACATCTGGATCGCGCCATTTACATTTTGCCGTAGGGTAAACCGCTTCGCTTTGCGGCTTGCGGGCCGTTCCTCTTTCGGTTCGCTTCATCAGCTCGTTCACCTTCTGTGCAAAAACGAATCGCCTCCTTTTGTTGGTTCCTTGTTTCTTTATTTCTGGGAGTCAACGAATGCACAGGGTATATGAATAAAACGCCAACCTAAAGATAACCAAGATTACAAATTATACACTGTGTTCCGGAGGAGTCTTTTATAGTCGCAACATACATTGAAAATCACAACTGGAAGCCCCTTTGCCTGGGGGGAATCTGGACAAAAGGCTTCAACTGCAAGACACAAGCCAAGCCGCGATGAATTCACCCAGTCAGTCCGGCTGCACAGCTTGACAGATAAATTAATTTGCCTAGCTGGACCTTGATTTTAGGATTTCAGCCTTAAAACCTTATTTCTTAGCGAGCAGGGTCTAAAGCAGAGCCTCCGGAAAGACCGCAGCAGAGCTAAATGGCAGTCTCAACTGTGCGTCTCGATCTCCCACTATAATCGGTAACATGTCCAAGTTGCCAGTTTGTTCCATCGTTAATCTGTGTTCTCTGGCCGTTAATAAATCGCGTTTATGGATGTGGCTCGGTCGATAGGATTTCGGGCGTGAAGCATTTCCCGCATTTTATATCCTGCGTTATATAAAACAAGGGCAGTCCTACCATGGTACATGATCCGAGACGCGGTCCTGTTAAAGCCGCTCTAGGGTCATACAATATTATACATGCAGCGTATACGATGTACTGCCGTGGTTGCACAAGGCATATAGCTAAGAAATATAGCGGAGTATGGTCAAAGTTGATAGTGTTCCTAAGCCTAAAATATGCTCCATGCTTCTTGTCAGATTCCATCGTCCAAACTGCTTAAATCGACGTTTGGCTGGGTTTGAACAGAATGGCTCTTTTCACCAAAGGAGTGCAGTATGTCTGCACATAAAACTCAATTTACAGATGTAAGTTATAGGGCACAAGACTGTGGCAAATTCCCACTTAGGAGTGGGACTTTAGAAAGATAAAGAATTTTCTTGGAGAAAACGCTGCCCTTCCTTATATGTGTGACCGACCGATAAGCGGGGGAGCGGTGGGGGGAGCTGAAGGATAGTGTAACATTGTTAATCTTTTCTGCTTACGATCACAGGCGCTTTAGAGTTCACTCCCCGCAGCCTCTCATATTTGGGAGGGGGTTTACGCGAGCTGCCAGGAGGCATCTGGGCCCTGAGTGGAGGCTGGGCGCCCGCTGGCCGCCTTTTTAGAGGGGAGGGGAGGGGAGGGGGGGCGCCCGGCTCCCCGCTCTGCAAGAGTTAAGGCCGCGGGCGGCCGGGAAGTCCGGGCGCTTGGTCCGCCCCTTCCTCATTGACTCCGGCGACCGCGATCGCCACCTTCCCATTGGGCAGCGACTCTTGACGGGCGCTCGCAGCCGGGACCCGGGCGAGGGAGGAAAGAGGGGGGGAAAGGTTCCCCAGGAGTTTGGATCAATCAGAGGGAGGGAGGGGAGAATCGGAGCGGGGGGAGGGGGGTTGGGGAGAGATGAAGCGCAGCCCGAGAGCCAGACTCTGAGCGGTGCCTTTCGGCCAGCCAACAACTCGGAACCCATGTAGCGCTCTCACGTCTGAACGGCCTCGCCGCTCTGCTTCCGGCCGGCCAGCCCCGACCCGTCCTCTGCCAGCTCGGCGGCCGGTGGCGCGGCGGCCGTCTGGCTCCGGCACCCCCGCCGGGCGGCTAAGATGAGCGAAAGGAGGCGCTCGGCTGTGGCCCTCAGCTCGCGAGCGCACGCCTTCTCGGTGGAGGCCCTGATCGGCTCGCACAAGAAGAGGAAGCTCCGCGACTGGGACGGCAAAGGCCTGGATTTGTCCATGGAGAGCCTCAGCCCCGACGGGCAGCTGCCAGACGCCGACGACCCTGCCCGGTGCCTGGACCTGAACCCAGGTGAGCGGGGCGCAAGGCGGGGCGGGAGGAGGCGGGTGAGCGGCCTTGAGGGCCCTGGTTGCCCTAAGAGAAACTGGATCTGGGAGAGCTTAAAGGCCGGGAGCCTGCCCTTCCACTGACAGCTGGGGGGGGGGGGTGGGGGGGGGGGAGGAATGTATGCTCGGGCGGGCCGGCGGGCGAGCAGGGAGAGGACGAGCTATGGAGCCTCAGCCGGGAAAGTGGTCCATGCAGCAGCGGCCTTTTCCTCGCTTCCCTTTCCCTCCCTCCCCACCCATCCCCGCCAGTCACAGGGCACTTTCGCTTTCATCAATGGAGTGCTGATCGATGGAGTTGGGGTGGGGGGTGGGGGGCCTTATGCGAAGACTGCTTGGCCCCCTCGCATAAGCAAAGGCCCCTCCATAGGCGCCTTTCTCTTGCTCTGGCTTCTTCCGGGCGCGTCCAACAGCAGCCCCTGCCTGTCCGCTGGACAGGAATAGCTCGGCTCCTAGCTATGAATAGCCCAGCATCGAGGCAAACCTCACCTGGAATTAAAAGGGGCCCACCTCGGGGAAGGCCGCCGGCCACTTCCACCGGTCCTGCGTGTGTCTGGGAAAGCAGGAAGGGGAAAGGACAGGCACAGAGAAACGCCCTAAGGCCTTCTCTGCGGGGTGGGGGGAGCGCCCCTGTAAAGGCGTGTGTTTACAGCTTTAGTAAGTTCAGCCGGGGACACGGCGGTGCCCAGCAGTTGTCCAAGTCTGCCAGGGTCCGCTGAATTGCAAGGGCTGAGGAGGCGCCAAGAGTGGCAGTCAAACCTCGGGGCCACCGTTGGGTCGCCAAAGCGGCGTCCAGCAGGATCGAAGACCTCCAAGCTGGCAACGGGCATAGCCCCGTGGGGGCAGTGGATCATGAACTATGGGGAGTGCATCGCGGGGCTTGGCCGAGGCCGAACGCTCCCCCTTCTGCCCCTCATCAACGATCTCCAGATTCTTGTCGAAGCGAAAACGCGCAGATCCCTCCCAAGAAGCAAGTTTCTTAGGATTCGCTCAATTGGGAGTGCGGAGAGGATTGGTGCGCTCTTCAAACCGCTCTTTTTATAAAAGGCATTCAAAGGATAGAAAAACCATCCGCTTTGAAAAGTGTGTTGGCTAAGCATCTGCTTACGTTTTGCACTTTCAGTTTTAAGCAGGTTAGCCTGGGGTTTTCCAGCATCTCTAATTTTCACGAGGACAGGTTTAAGACACACACACACACAAATACACACATTCTAAAACACGGGAAACTTCTTAGAGATTAAATTAGAGCCAAAGGCCAAGCAGGTAATTTGCACACCCTTCTCCAGATTCATGTCTAACAAGAGAAGGCGCCTCAAAAGTTGGGCCTAAGAGCCGTCCCGTCGTCTTTGGCTTGGGGTGGGGGGCGGGGGGGGGGAGCGGCCCAGCCTGGCCTCGTCTTCTATCGCTCCTGACAATGCGCTACTCTTGAGCAATTGATTCCGACGCTGCGGTCTGCCTGCCTTGCTGTTCTTCCTTTGAAAGCAATCCCCCGATGGCGCCGTGTCTCATCCAAAACTTCCACCAGCGGAACTGCAGTTGAGTGAATTGAGTTCTGAAGGCTAGCAGCCAGGCCTGGCGAGGTGCGTGCGTGGGTGCGTGTGCGTATTTGTGATTTATTACTCCAGAGGTTGAGTGCTTTGAAAGCCGCCAGAGGATGGTGACAGGCGGGTTCGTCTTGCTTCCTCTACGGAAATAACGGGCACTAGTCAGTGCAATAGAAGGTCCTAGTCCTCACTACGGCTTTCCTTCCTGACTCTGCAGCATCTGGCAGGTGAGCGAGGCCCGAGGGCCCGGCGAGCAACGTCCGAGACTCCAGAGACTGGCCTTCCACCAACAGGCTATTGGGGCGAGGTATTTTCTGAGACCATCCGGAGTTTTCCAAAATTCTCCGTTTCTCCTCCAAAAGAAAACAAGTTCTTCTTGGCTCAGAAGCCCAAACGGCGATTCTTCCCCTATAATCGATGGGAGGAAAGGCCGGGAGGCCTGCTAGAATTAGCCGCCCGGGTTCCTTGAGTCTCACTTCAATCTCTTTTCCCTAGAGAAAAGAAAAGTAATCGAGATTTTTTTTTGGCCAATGATTATTTTAGAATAGTATAGAATAAATAGAACGTTACTGAACATTCATGAATGATCTGGGATTCTATGAATGTTCAGAGAAGGAATAGAAATTTACTGAACCATATAAAGGTAGGAAGTTGAACTTTTTTCCTTCCCTTCCCTTCCTTTCCTTTCCTTTCCTTTCCTTTCCTTCCTTTCCTTTCCTTCCTTTCCCTTCCCTTCCCTTCCCTTCCCTTCCCTTCCCTTCCTTTCCTTTCCTTTCCTTTCCTTTCCTTTCCTTTCCTTTCCCTTCCCTTCCTTTCCCTTCCCTTCCTTTCCTTTCCTTTC